TGCCGTAGCTACCCCGCCCCCCCCAAAACCCCCATACCCCCTTTCCAAAAAAAAAAAAAAAAAAAAAAAAAAAAAAAGCACTCATAAGGTCTATAGCCTCACCGTTATTCCACTCAATGCTTCCAGTGAAGCTGTCATCCATGTTTTTATGTCTACTGGCTGACTGCCATTCATGATGCTGATGAGTGTCACCCAGAAAATGATGTACGAGCTGCAAGAGTCCCGATGTGTTGGTTCAAAGAGAGGTCGCGTTTTTAAAAATAAGACCCGTGTGTGACTCAGGACACACTTCTAAACTAGAAAATAAATCACTCTTGCATGTTTGTTTTTTTTCCCTCTTTTTCCACGTGATAGAGTTGCATGCTCTGCAAAGCCAAAAAGAAGAAAAACAAAATGGTGCGGAGTTACTTTTTGACATTCTAATATGCCGAATGACGACTTACTTTTTACTTACTTACTTTTTACTAACAAAAATTCAGTCTAGGTTTAATTCAACTATGTCGAGATTATGTATTTAGTTTGTGTATAACACTGCAATATTTAAGTCGTAGGGTAGAAAGACTGTCTCTGAGCCAGAAAATCTAAATTTAAAGATGAGATTTAACTTTCATTTAAATTAAGTAAGATGATTAAGTTAATGGTAGAACAGCCTAAATTATCATGTAGATTTTACATGCAAGTCCTAAAAAATGAATGTGGCAATATTCACTATAACCTTAAGAAGAAATGTAATATTGCTTTTATTTTCATGTTATAACTTGAGATAACAAGTTATAACAATTCTTCTGGGTCAATGTGCGTCATTCAGTACACACATTGACCCAGAAGAATCACTTATCAAGATGATAAAGACAAACGGCGAGATTCAACAGAACTTTGTCTGCGGTCTACAGCACACCACTCGTGCAAGAAAATTATTCATGTTTTATTTTTGCTGCTTCCTCTGGTCCATCCGAGTCTGTTTAGCATTACAGAAAAAATAAACAAGATAAATACCTGTCTCTTTTGTCTGTGGAAAATGCCGGTGGTGTTGTAAGGCCTTTTCACAGAATAAGTTTGCCTGTCGCTTTCGCTGAAGTAAAGGACAGATTTACTGTCTTGTTCATGATTTGAGGCTACAAAGGCAATTTGTGTGCCAAGTCAACTGTGCAGTCCCATCCAATGTGAGCCAATGAACAATGCTGGAAAAACCAGACAGTGAGCCATTGTTGTGGTTTTGACCTCCATTTTTTTTTTTTGTCTGTGAGCATGTCCATCGGGAAGTAGGAACACTGTGTGATACATGCTGACCCCAGCTGAGCAGGAAAGATGCGTCAGACCACTGCTGCTACTCCGCACTCCCGTATTGCTAATAATGACTTTTGACGCAGTAAACATGTTGCGGAGAATGGGCTGTGACTGATTTCAAACATGTATCATCCGTAGGATATCACTGCTACCAATACTGAGGACAATAAAAGTTGTTACACTAATTTCTTTTGGGGTTTTTTGTAGCAAAATGAATGGCTTGTTATATTCTGTTCTGGTAGGCGTTTGAGTTTATACTGGAATTTAAATAAACACTTCACTCTTCACACAAAAAAAAGTGTGAAACTGATATTTTTGCACTCCTTTTTGTTTCACTTAGGTGAATCGATGCGGCAGGCCTCTGGGGAATTTGCAGAAGACCCCTGCTCTTCTGTGAAGAGGGGCAATATGGTCCGTGCTGCCCGGGCCCTTCTTTCTGCTGTCACACATCTGTTGGTTCTGGCAGACATGTCGGATGTCTATAAACTCCTGGTGCAACTCAAACTGGTAAGATCATTTTAGACATGCTTCTTTTTTGACTCAAGTAAAATGTTTAAAACTCACCAGTTTCAGCCAGTAAAGAATTTGTCAATTTTTTTTAAGTTGCTGCTGACATGGTGGCAAATGCCACTCGCTCTCCAGTGTGTGGTTTGCAGCTTGGTATCTTTTTCGCTGTCGAGCTGTATTGCAGGTTTGTATTATGTGTTTATTGTGAGCCTGGTTTTAGAGGCTCATGCAGCAGCTCTCCTCCAGTGGTGTTGAAGTGTTCTGACCCCCCAGGAGAGCAAAATGAGGATTATGGTCGCTGGCCGGGGTCCGACACGGTGGTGTAGCGCATGCTGCCACAGAAAAGGACCAAAGCGTCATCTGAATACAGAGGATGGGCATCCTGAGAAGTCTGCAGCCCACATGTACCGCCACTGCAGTGTGTGTGTGTGTGTGTGTGTGTGTGTGTGTGTGTGTGTGTGTGTGTGTGTGTGTGTGTGTGAAATTCTTGTAGCATTTATTTTAGGGCTCTATAAATAAAATCCAGGCTCTGCTGTGACTTTCTATTGAAATTGCTGCTTTTCCTAACCAGTGACTCAACTAATGTGGAAAAAAATATCACATGGGTTTCCGAAGAAATATGCCTATGGTTATGCCAATTCATAAGCACAACTTCATATTGTAAGCAAAATTGGCTTTCCTCTGGACCAGCAGTCAGATAAAACTTTGTTTGGTTTGTGTAAATGCTGTGAAATCTGCCATTATCTCCATTTCACGCTAAGGCCCTGTCTGCAATAACATGGATATGTAAAAACAACAAAACAAGCAAAAAAAAAAAAAAAAAAAAAATTCTGATGCACTTCAATAAAGTGTATTCCTGAGATAAAATGATAAACTGTCAAAAAAATAAATAAGGGGTTGAATTTTTACGACTTTGCCCTACTTAGTATTTTGTCTTGAATTATGACCTTGTTGATGCTGATGTCGCCTCCTCTTGGTGTTTTTGGTTGGACTCAGGAACCATGAAGATGCAGAAATCTGAAGTGTTGCTCCTCCGGTGTAAAATAAGTGGCCATAACCCAAAAAGCCAGTCCAAACTTTACTTTTCTATGTGTTTTCATACTGCATACACCACTGGTGTGCTATGATTCTGTTGCTCTAATAATACACCATAATTAATGCTTCAACACAGAAAAGTACTACTTGGAATTCCAATAATTTTTTTTACAAATTTTGGGGACTAGAGTGTTTTCCTGGTTTAGATTGCAATCCCTGTGTTAAAACTAGAAGGTACCTCTAAAGTTTCCATTTGAATATTATCATTGAAATGCACCTTTGAACAATTGTGGCGTTTTGACAGTGAGATGTATATTATTTATGTTTACGATGTCTTCCATAGTTTCAGTACACCCTGTTGCTGTTTGTAACTTCAGTTATTTTTTTTTTTTTTCAATTTTGTCTCAGGTGGAGGACAATCTGCTGAAAGTGCGGAACGCAGGAACAGAGCAGGAGCTGGGGATTCAGTATAAGGCCTTGAAACCAGAGGTGGACAAGTTGAACATGATGGCTGCCAAGAGACAGCAGGTAATGTAAAGTAGCCAAGGGTTGGAATGAACTGAAAAGCCTGGATTTCATTTTATTTGCTTGGCATGTACTGTCTAGGTACATGCCAAGCAGACTTGTAGCTACATAAGGTTGGGAACTTGCCTATTAAATACTAATTACAATATACACAAGTGGTACCTTATTAAGTGCAAAGAGGGAAGTATTCAGTTTTAATCTTCTTATTACCTGTTCCAGGAAAACTAGTGCAATTTAAATTCACCTAATTTGAATTAATATGATGCATTGGTCAACATTGTGCCTAACATGAATTAAACATCCTAAATATTCTTCAATTCCAAATATACTCTTTTGCAAATGTACAATCCATGTATTTCTAAAGTAACTGCATATGAATCAAAGTCGCATTTTGTAAAAAAAAAAAAGATTTTATGTGAACAGTTTTTAATGGAAGGGGAGGCTATATGAAGTAATCGAGCTTAGCTGTGGTTGAGGGGTGATAACCTAAAAGAGTTCACACTGGTGGCGAGACCCTCATTTTTAATGTTCAGGCTCTTCCTTTGCTCAATATTAATCAGGTGCCTCCTTTCCCTACGACTGTGGAATCTCACTAAAATCTGAATAGGAATGCACTAAATTGCAAAGGGATTTTATAATGGCCTGATTATGACTATTGTATTACCAGAGGGAGCAGAAATAAATCTGGGTCATTTAAAACAACTCTTAGTGTCTCCATTAGGGCATGACAGGCCCATTTTAAACTGAAAGTCCATCATCCCTGTAAGCATTCCAGCTTTCGCTTTAACCCCTGTTTCATCCCTTTTCATTTCGCCCTCCTAGGAGCTAAAGGACGTCCATCACAAGGACCAAATGGCCGCAGCACGGGGGGTGCTGCAAAGGAATGTCCCTATGCTGTACACGGCATCCTGCGCCTGCCTGCAGCATCCTGACGTGGCAGCCTACAAGGCCAACCGTGACCTGATCTACAAGCAGCTGCAGCAGGCCGTTTCTGGAATCTCCAATGCTGCCCAGGCGACTTCCACAGAAGACTCAGCCCTGGCCCAGCCCGGGGGGGCCGGAGAGCTCGCTTACGCCCTCAACAATTTTGATGTAAGTCAAATGAGTGGTTAACACATCGCAGCCTGTTTGCCGAGGAAGTGTGCGTGCAGCTGTTCATCAGAATGCATAATCCCCACCTTTCTAAATCCACATTTTAAAAATGATGAATAATATATATATATATATATATATATATATATATATATATATATATATATGAGTTTTAGATTAAGCAATTTTAAAGCAGAAACTTCACTGAATCACGAAGTGACCAAAAACCCTAAGGGGTTTGAACTTGAGGTGGAAATTAGGACAGGATGAGCAGACAATGTGGGACATGGCTGTGGGGTAAAGTGAGTCTGCTCTTGCGTCACGACTGCTTCATTTTTTAATTTGCTTCAGTTTCAAATCAATTAGATTTATACTGCCATGAATTTCATAAATTAAACTATACTTACAGATGACTAAATAACATAATTTAGCATATACATAAATAAAGCCCTTCTCTTTCCCCTGCTTATTCAGGACAAAATATACGATGTGTGTGGATATAAACTCAATTATGGAGACTTTTTTTTTTATATTCCTTTTACAAGATATCCTAGATATAAAATTACAGAAACAAATTTAATAGGTGTACAAAACACCCGACCCACTACTCATAATATTGACATGAAACAAAACATCAAGATAACTGATGGCTTAAAAATAGAGCTAATCAACCCAACGCTGCCTAGGGAGATAAATACAAAGATGATTAGATTTTCTATGGCACTAACCTCTCTCTGACATGCAATGCATAATAATATTTACAGAAGGTGTGTTCAATTAAACTCCAAAGACATTCTGCAGGCCCACGGTAACGCGCAGCTCTGTAAAAACATGCGTTTTCATCATCTTCTTTTGTGCCAGTTTCAATAACTGAGCCAGTACTATTCAAATATTTAGTCATTTGACAAGCAGCATTGTCTATTGTATTCTGTTGGTATTTTGATGTAGTGCTTTCATATCTGTATGCACCTTATGTATTTGTGCAATGAAAACGATTTTTTTTTGGTGCATGAATGAAGGAAAAACTTGCCCCTTCTTATTTTGTAATGCAACAGAAGTGTAATAGATCCAACATTAACACCCTTTACATAAACCTATAGAGCGTTAACAAACAGAAGAAGGTCATCTCTACATTTCATGCTTCTATCGCAGCTTTGTGGTTGACTTGACATGCTGATGGTGATTTTAGGCAATTTAGATTTTTCTAAAACATCTGTATTGTGCAAGGATAAAGAAAAACAAAAACATTGCTTTAAAATATTATGCCATTTCTCTCATCATCGATCAGTAGACAAGGAGCAGAAAAAGAGTTTATCAAACAGCTGGTTGCATCTCTAACTTTCTAACTTCATTTCAAACAATTCACCGATAGTGACAACAGTCAACTTGAACTTTTTCACTCAGTAGCTGCTTCTACACTGAAGCAGGGTGTGCTTGTGCAGCCCGGTAGCCATTTAGGTTTGCTGCGTTCACTAATCAGATTGATATTTTTTTCACCTAACAGATTCACCAATCAAAGCCACTAAAGCCAATAATTGTTTTGGTCACCTGTTGATTTCTCTTTGTATCTCTAATTAAATGTGGGAGGAAAGAGAACTTGGTGTGCGGAGAAGTTCTCTTACCAAACAGGTGTGATTTAATTTTGGACAGGTTTTGGAAATTGGTAGGCGGATTAACAGCAAAACTATGTTCAAATCACAGTTTGCTCTCAAAGTTTTCCTCCTCTTTTGTTTCATGTTTGTTTAAGTCTGGGGATTTTAACTACGTTCTTTAAAATTCGTGTTAGATTTGCTGTACGACAGCAGATGAAAACAGAAAGCCTCTCATCCCCAAAAAAACTTGCATCTGCTTTTTGGCTGAAAATCACCTCTCTAAAGCCTACTTTCAAGTGTTAGTCAAAATTAGTAAATGAGTCAACCTCTGACTCTCTTTCTCTCCCTCCGGTTTCTCCTCCGTGTCTCTCCCTTTGCCTGTTGCCATGGTGATATGACACGCAAGCATAGGAGGTCAGATGAGAATGAATGGAGGGAGCTGGAGGTGCCTGTGACGGAGGGTGATCTGCCATAACAAACTACAATTATAATAACTAAGCAGTTTAAATACAGAGCATCTGAAAAGCAGAGTCCAGACATCGAGGCCTTACTTTCTTTAGTGCCACTAACCTGAAAAACATTAGAGCCGCAGCTAGAAGCTGTCTAATGCTTTTGAAATGCATCAACAGCAGAACTACTTGTAGCTGTTAACAGGCTTGCCCTACAAAGTCAAACCTAATTAGAGTTGCCTTGTGCTGTTGAAATAAAAGAAACAAGACAAGGTTATACTGGTGTCTGATTACGTAAATGGAAACATATCTGTGTGAATTCTATTAATTCTTAAGTGCTTTACCGATGCGTATGAACCTACCCATGGGCTGGTATGTGATTTTTAAAGGTGTTGCAACCTTGAACAGAAACGCCATAATATTAATCTGTTATGGTATTAAGAAAACTATTGCATTCCAGGTCAAATTTCACATCATGTCACAGTTATTTTGTACAGCTTCAATATCTTTATTTAAAGCTTCTCTTATGTTGATGTAGAAATGCTAGCAAAGATGCAGAGAGAGAGAAAACTCTGGCATCAAACAGTGACTTTCACACACACACTCACACACACACGCACACTCACACAGCAGTCAGCTATTTTATGTGCTCATGACACAGACTTTTAACTCAGTTTCAGCTATTGATATGTTGAAGATCAAGGCTGAAAATTTAATTTATTCCCAAGTAGTCGGATTGAATTTAATGTCCAAGTCGGCTAAAACATCAGTGGACTGGAAGACCGTTTTAAGGCCCAAGAGGCACTGATGAAGATATTTTGCTAAAGTGACATTGTCCAAGTTACCTGGGTTGCTCTCTTCTAGTTTCCAAACCATGGGGGTGTTGCATTTATTTATTTATTTATTTATTTTTTTTTAAAGTCGGGAATATTTTCACTCAACCAAATAGCCATTTTTTAAGCATGGGGGAAGATCAGTGATCCCAGGTGATAAAGTCATACATTGGCTGTAATGATAATGAAATGCATGTATCAGAGAAAGGGCAACTAATCTCAGTCAGCCTTTATTTATGACATCCAACTCTAGATATTTCCTGTTCCTATGAAAGGATCTTCTTAAGGAGCTTGTGAATCTGTAATTACATTCAAATTTATCTCTGACATAATACCTTTTTATACAAGTGAACATGTTGAGTGAATTTTTTTAACGTTGATGACAAAAATACATACTAGACAAAACCGTGACCTTTACAAGAGTCCAGGAATATTAAACTGATGTTAGCAGGGGAGAATAATACTAACCCACATACAGATTTATTCTTGTCCTTGTTTTTCAGTTTTCAATACTTTTTTTCCCTCCCTTTAGATTATTAGCTTTGGGCAAAAGTCTGCTTTGTCCTGATTTTGAAGGTTTTTAGACAAGCATGCTCCTCGGTAATTAATAAAAAATGATCCAGCTCTGCTCTTCGTTTAGTTTCTCTTATTCCTTTTCAACAGAAACAAATCATTTTGGATCCTGTGGGCTTCACCGAGGAACGCTTTCGTCCTTCGCTGGAGGAGCGCCTTGAGAGCATTATCAGTGGAGCTGCTCTCATGGCTGACTCTTCATGCACACGTGATGACCGCAGGGAGCGCATTGTGGCTGAATGCAATTCTGTGCGCCAGGCTCTGCAGGACCTCCTGTCTGAGTACATGGGGAATGTAAGTGTCTTCATTTTCTAAATCGTTGTGAAACTGACAGGTCTTTAGCAGCTTGTTAAACTTTGACATCCAGATACTTTCTGCACTTTAGAACTATCACAAATGCAAAACGGATGCAGAAAAAAAAAAAATCAAAGATCAAAGCAGTAAAGTATTATTACAAAAGCATTTTTTTTTTGAGAATTTTTAAAGTGGCAGATTAAGTTTTCTTATCCTTTTCTTATAACCTTGGGCATTTGTTTTTCAATATTTCCAGTTTTTGTTCCTTTTCTTGTTATTTATACTTTCATAGTTCTGAGAATTCCCATTTCATACCACTGTTTCACCTGTTATCAATCCACGGTCACATCCACTTTATTTTCAGATCCAATCCAATTAAATGAAATCAGAAGTTTAGTTTAAAGCAACTTTTATTTTTGTCTACATTGAACTCCTACCCACCTCTTCAGTAGTCCACTATGACTAGAGAAATGAAGAAACGAATCTCATCAACACTGACGGTGAATGGACATGACAGTGATATGACTACTCATTTGGCCAGATGAAGAAAATGGATTGGAAGCATAATATGTTACTGCCTGTCGTGTGCATTTAATGGCCTAATTTAGCCTCTGAGATCTATGGCATGTGACATGTGGTTAGCATAGTGAGAGAATGTGACCTGGTGCCTTATAGCAGTGATAGACTGTTGGATGACTTGACTTGTCGGGTATTTGAAACATTAAACATCGCCTGGCTTCATGACCATATGTTTACGTCTTTTATGCTATTCAATTGAATTTGAGCCAGTAGAATATTATGGCCTTTTTGCAAAGTAAATAAGACTGACAATGGCACCTGACCTGTTGGTGGGTTGGGTATATTGGGCAGAAAGGGAACAATTTGTCCTCCTAGTCAATGGGTTAAAAGAAAAAATTGGGTAAATGTGATGTTGAGAAGAGTCAAATTGGCCCGATTGTCACCCAAACCTGCAGCTCCTGTGGGTTTTATGGGTCTGCAGTACTCTAAACTCTGAATTTCAACATTGCACCGCCAGTAAACTTTGTTTGCAATAGCTCTTACAGACATCATTTTTAAGTGTTACTTTTAATAAGCAAATGCCATTTTTAATTTGTTCAGTTTACAATTGCCAGTGCTACATGTGTAACGCTGATTTTGGGTGCACTTTTACATGCGTCTCTTGTAATATACACACATCCACCTCATCTTACTACTTTTGATGTGAGGATTGGCCATATTGACACGTATATTGACACGTGAAGTCTGCTGTACAAGTCATAAGTGGGCGTATTCAGCATTGCTCCAAGTTTCCCAGCAGGAAATCTGACTTTGGAGAGCGTTCCAGTTGATTTTTCCAATTGAGAAGTGGGAACTGGAACGCAGCATTAGTGTGAAGTGTTCAGTTGGCATCCAAGTGGAACATGCTAACTAATTGGACTAATGGATTTGCTAACAGGTGCGAGGTGGAACCTCACAACTTGCAGGACTTAAATGATCTGCTGCTGCTAACATCTTGTGTCAAGTCACACCAGACCACCTTCAGGGGTTTAATAGAGTCCAAGCCAATAGGTTCATGTTGTTTGGCCGAGGTGAACCAAGATTTTATTTGAATATCTTTAAAATATATTTGTAAAGAAACGAGCTATTCACTCAAGCTTTATATTATATAATGAAGAAAAAATATCGAATCGGTTGGGCAGTTCAATATTAGGAAAAATAGTGGTACTTATTGGTTGAATAGAAGTGACAAATGGTAAATTGAGGTGTAACAGCAACAGATATAAAAGTTCACACATAAAGTTATTTGTGGTAAAAACATCATATAAAAAACATTATACACTGTTCAAGACTAGATGAATGTAGTGACTAATTTGGTTGTGATGAGGTCACATGCTTTTCACATTCGGTGCATATTTTGAAATATTTACCTTATTGAGCTTTATTGCATCAGAAAAGGCAGTAGGATTTTGTTCCAATATACCTACCAACACTTGGCTTCAGAAGTCTATGATAGGGAAATGCATTTTCTTTTTGATTGTGCATGATCTGGCTTCCCATCGATTCTTAAAAAAAAAAAGGCAAGTAAAACAATGTTGTTCATAATTTAGGCAGATATTGTCTCTCTAATCTGAAATTAGAAATTTCTTTGATAGATTTAAGCTACGTATTGCCAGTAGACAAAAGTAAATGGGCCACGTTTGGAAATGGTATTATTGGTGTTCCAGCTGGGTTTTTGAAGTCACCACCGACTCAAAAACACAAATGGAACACTGCCTCCTTTTTTGGGCCCTTTCTGTGTATGAAAATCTCATTCGGTGAGGGTTTCAGACTTGCAATGGAAAAAAATATTTAATTTCTTCTGCTCCAAGTAGAGAAATCTTGTCTCATCTTTATTTCCTTTTAACCTTAACTTCAAGCAGCATTCATGCTGCTTTCAGTGTACCTCGGAAGAGGGAATGAAGTTTTTTTTTCTTATTTTTGTTCTTGTGACTTTGCTTCATGGGTTGCATTGGACTGCGAATTACCACCAGAAGTGTGAAAGAATTTCTCATTAAGCTGTTTTTTTCCTGACACGCAAACAGGGAAACCTGACTTTTTTCAACACTAATGAATCAATTCTGATTACTCGGAGAAAAAAATAAATGATTAATAGAATAAAAACGACTTTATTTTCTTAAAATTGCCTATAAAATGCTGTGTGCATCCGCGTGCACATACACACACACACACACACATACACACACACACTCACACTCACACAATTAGCACCCATGTTTCAGTTGCTAGTGAACCAAACGGATATCAAAGAACTGGTAAGTTTTTACAACCTAATTTGTGCCTGTAAACTTTACTTTCTCTAAAAGGTTACATAGATATAACCGTTTGAGAACCTCTGCTACAGTATCACCTAGGTGTGAGTTTTGTCTCATGAATTTGTCTGTATTATATATTTGTATTCCTTGATGTGTCAAAGAAAACATTTTTTTGACAAATATACATTTTATATATTCTTCAGAACGTAACATACTTCAGCTTAAGAGAAAACTTAGTATCGTTGGCTGTAGAATGGTGATCTTCCATCAATCGGGATATTACTAGTTTTATCTTTTTTTTTCTTTCTTTCTTTCTTTCTTTCAAGTTGATGTACTGGCCAACTGATTAAATTTGACATTGGCCCTCAGTTTATTTCTCGCCTCTAAATATCTTTGGGCAAAAATGTCTACTAAATAAGTGTGATGCTTTGGTGATGTAAACCTAATTAGCCATGCACAAATTGGCTTTCTGTGGCAGCCGATGTAAACAGAAATTGGAGCTGAATTACAGAACAAGTCTTATTCATTACTAGAGTTTGGATTGGGACGTCCCTATTGAAATTGTTTTGTTGAATTATTTGGCTTATGCAAGCATTTTTTTTTCTTATTTGTGTGGGAGAAACAATATTATGTTAATGATGATCGCTTAAAAGATTGTAGCCCATCTCCTCAGCCAGTGAAGTGGAAAGGTGGATAAGTGGTCATGTTGCTCTTGCTCTCCCACATTGTGAAATCTCAGTTATTCCATATAGCCATGAAGGTTTTACATCGCACATGCAAAGTGTAACAGTTTCTGACATTTTGTATTATTCAAGCATCCCTTGTTACTAGCATGTGTCAAGGGTTGTCTCACGTTGCAAAATAATGCTTCATTGCTCTGACATACACAGCAACTGACAGTCCCTGCAAGTTCATTAGCATTTTCACCTGTGTGAAAATAACATGCAATACCTGGCAACTGCAGTGGGATCCCACATCCCTTTTCTCTTCATTTCCATTTAGCTTAAAGCAGTATTAGCACTTGGCACTCCTTAACATTTCTTGTACAGATTGAACATCTGGCTTAATCCCATTTCCTCCTTTGCGGTCTTCTTCCTGTTTGTTCCTTTCTCCTCTGATGGTTTCCTCCCCCCCCCAACTCTTACTTTTTGCCTTGGGCACCTTGAGTAAGTGGAAGAATTTTAGTTCTATCCAATTTTCTCTCTGTCTGCACAGATGCATCTCATTAAAAATATATATTTTGGCGGACTACTTAAGGTTTACAGTGTGTAACTATCTAGTTGCTTTTTCTGACCATTGTTGGGGCATGAACTGAATGTCTTGTAACCTGAACCTGAAGGGTTTCTGCTGTATACACATTCAAGACTTTAAATAATTAAAACTTTGTAAAATACAATGTGTGACACTAGGAGGAGAATAGAAACACCATGTTTGAGTGAACAATCCAGTGAGTCCACTGCTAGGACTGTCTAAAACTGGGAAAGTAATCCATCATTTTCACTTTTCAGATTTCGAGGACAAACTTGAAATCTGTCCTCGGTTTTGAGGACAGATTTCATGTGGACTCCTCAATCATGCACCAAAATATTCTACGCTGAGTACACTTTCTTCCAGACGCTGAACATTTAGGCCAAAACACAAACAAATAATAAGGAATTTTTGGTTGTCCTCACAATGGGTAGCATCTTACCATTTTGTGAACCCATTCTCCTGTTTGAACTAGTTACACTTTCACACCATTACCTATCTTATCTAACACGTTAGTGAGCACTGTAGCTGACTGCAGTGCTCTGAATACAAAGCAAATGATATGCATCAAATTAATGCATACATTTTATATTTCATGGAGAAGTTTTTAAAGAAACTAAAACTGTCTCATAGCTGAGAAACTGATCTTTTTTATCTTATCTGAATTCATAATTGAAACAAATTACACACTGCACACTGTAACAGAGAAAAGATCTAGTATCCTTAAGGCTTTACTTAAATTTATGGCCTCCATAAAACATTAGTCTGTCAGTCGACGCTTGTCAGGCAACATTTCTTGGATGTGTCACTTTGATCTCAGGTTGGTGGATTCTGGGCCTTCGGATCGGCTTTTCTGTCGCGTAGATGGGTTGAACCGTTTTTCTCGGCAGTGAGGAAGAATAATGCAGTGAAGTCACAATAAGAAGCTCTGTGCTTTGG